CCTTTTGACCGCATACATGATAATACCCACCGACAAGATGACAAAGCTACGTAGCAAATGGGAATCTGGACCCGAGAGATGGTAACTCGTAGGCAAGATTTGTACGTGGACGACAGATGGGTGGGCAAGTAGGTAGGCAAAAGAATGACGCCTAGAAAGTATTCCATGTCCCGGCCGAGAGTGAACATGGGTTGGAAAATGGGGGTCCTCTTGATTGTATTGCACGTTACGCCACTGAGCGGGAAAACACACACAAGGGGGCATGTGACAAAGGCCAAGGAGAGATTCACCTAAAGCAAAAAAAACCCCCCATTTCCCCAGAGTCGCTCCAGATCTAGATCGTGGATCGTCCGTGTGGGCGACGGGCTCCATCAAAAGAGCACAGGGCTTCCCTTGCCTTGGCGGGTTCCTGGTTGTTCTGGGGTCTATGTCACGAGAGGGAAAGCGAGGAGTGGAAGGCAATGACAAATTAACTAGGTCAGGTCAGGTCCGTTTGTGCAGATCATCCATCCCACCAGTCTGGTCGGGCTGGAAAAGTTGATCCTCTTGATGGCATGATTGGGTGGTTGCGGGCAGGCGGTTTGAAGGGGGACGTGGACAAAACGTGAGCGTCTGTTTGGATGTGAGCAACTGTCCTGCAAAGTACTCTGTAGTATGAAGTAGTAGAGAGGAAATCCATCCGAGAATTAGCAGCATCTTCCCTGTTGCCGGGGGGTTAGGCGGCGATGGCGCAGCGCTAGGCCAGCAGATCTGGTCAGAGTGAGGGGCAGTGTTCGAGAAGGATAGCGAAAGGATAGGCCAACAAGAGACTTGAGCAAACACCGGGGGAGGGCAGGCAGGTATCAGTTCGAGCAGCAGCAAGAGAAGAAAAAGAAAAGAAAAGAAAAAGCATCGAGTGGACCAGGCACACGAAACGTGTGCAGATAGATGAACGGCGACCTCGCGAACCATAACACGGTCTCATGTCGACGTCCTTCCTTCCACAAGTGCATCTAGCGTGGGAAACGGCTATAAGATAGTTTACCGGTCGGGGCATTTTGAGTGGATCATGGCAACTTGGGCAGAGCGGGAGGAAAGCTAAAAGATGGAGAATGAGCGACTATAACGTTTCACATAATTTTTCCGTGCGAGTGCCGTCCGTATATACAACTTATTAGGTTGGCATTGTAGGTTTAGTTTTGTAAGCGGCAATCTGGCTTGATATTCCATTTTCATTGCGTGTGGCCTCCTACCACAGCACAGAACATGGTCTTTTTCGACGAGCGACTGCCCCCGTTGGCCCTGTAGTTGGATTTCCCGCATTTAGTGGCATGATTGTTTTATTTGATCATTGGTTTTATTTATTCCATCTCATTCTCTTGTCCAGACATACCGATACGGGCTGCATACCTCCAAAAGCGTCCTGTGATGGCTTGCGCTAACGCCATGTAGGTCATACGTACTTACGGGCAATGGAAACGAATCATTGCATCGACAAAGGACCCTCTGCCCGTCTGTCTGTTTGTCCACTGAGCAATTTGTATGGATGGACGCTTCTCATTGCCATCCCTCCCTAGATATTCTATCCTATCAATGTCTCTTTCCTTGCCCCCCCTCCCCTCCTGGAATGTCGACCGCTGGAGGTGCGTCCGCCGGTACCCGGGAAGCTGGGCCCGCAACCCACCACCTAGCTCTGTCGACTGTCCACCCATTTCAGTGCAGTGCCTGTAGCTAGCTGGTCGTGTGGACTTGTAGAATCTGTGCATCCATGTACATGGTATTGTTTGGTCATTGACATGCACACAGCAGTACTTGCGCGTACCATCTATAAACCCTGCTTGGACAGGGCCCTGAGGAGTGTTTTCCGCCCAATTGATCATACGCTTCACTCCACACCTATTGCATCTTTTTTATTCATTTAGTTTTGCTTTTTTAATTCCTCTGCTGGCCAATCTCTTTGCAATCTTTCTACCCACTGAAGCCACTCACTCGCCCGCGCTCTCACTGGAGAGGCCGATTCTTGGGCCAGCAATTGCAAGTGTGTACATGTATGCAAGTGCCTTTCTCGATGCAGGCAGGTAGGTCCCTACGTGGCCTGGATTATACCGAAAATCAATGAGCACGAGGCAAGTAGAAATAGGATGTGCCCACTCATGTCGACAACATGCATACCTAGGTACAGGACCTGCCTACCATTCTACCTACGTACCTAGAGACGTACATAAGGTAGGTAACCTACCTATGTCATGTAATGTATCCAGTCCATTGAAGCAAAATTTGAAGGATCTGCGCCCGTTTGCCATTCATCATGTCGCGCGCATGGCAAGTGCAACGGGGAACCAGGAATGAAGTCTTCTGCAGCTGCCAAAGCAAATTGGATACAGTACATACATGCAGTTACAGTCTCAGCAACCCCGAGCTGCAGTGATTGCCGCCTTGAAAGAGGAGAAGAGGAAAGAAGGAGAGAAAAAACCGCGTCACATCTTGGTCTTGACTGATGTTACTGTGTTTCGCGGCGGCATAATGAGGAGGAAAACGAGCCAGATGCCCCCTTCAGTGGTAGTTGTGCTGCATCGCTGCCGCCAACCTTCCGAGGAACCAGGATTAGTGGTGAGAAGGTGGTGCGGTGCCACTCTGGTATTCCGTACTAACCAGAATACTCACCACCCACTTGACCATCATGGACCCCTCTGCTACATACCCGGATTTTGCGTCCCTTGGTTCAGCCAGAAGAAAAGAAACAGAGGAAGACCAATCCAATCTGTCCATTCACTATTCTCATGCTCGCGTACCTTGACTACTACCTCAGCACTTGTGAATTCTACTCCCACTACCTCTGCTACGACATCTCGCATTGCCTCGCCAGTCTGCGTTCCTGCTGTGTGTTTTGTAGAACCTATGAGGAGACTTGGGTGCCCCTTGTGTGCCATATTGCCGCAGGCTCTTGGTCCTCTCCAAACCATCCATCACTTCACTCACCCATTCATTCACTATTTTTTTGCCAGGGCTTACCAAGGAGGGCAGGGGCCAGGTCCGATTGAATTGCTTCCTCATTTTTCCTCCCTTATCCTTGCTGTTTTCTTTTCTTGCAGCAGGCCTCTTGACTGCCTACCTACCTGTGGCCTACCACTGACCAGCCTAGGTAAGTATTGATGGTCCACTACTGCACACTTGGAGGAGGAGGAGGATGCGATGCACCAGTACCAGCACCATGCAGCACGTCTTTTTCTTTTCTTCTCCACACCCTGCCAGAGATGGTCGTCGTCCATGTACTATCTGGTCAAGCTAGTGTTTGTTTGAAAATTGCTTTTTTCTTCCCTTTTTCTTTTTGGCTGTTTTCTTCTCTGACTTGAACTTATTAATGCCCACCCAGAAGGGGTTTCAGGTCTTTGACCTGCTGCGTCGCCTCGTTCTGTTTAACGGATCGATCTGCTGCTGCTCGCTTCTTGCGTTTCCCCATCGCCGAAGGTCATAATTTACTTTCCCCCTCCATTGTTTTTCTTTCGTCTTCCTCGTACCTCTGTCTCCCGTATGAGTCTGATCGCAAGAATAAGGGTGCTGTGTATCACAAGCTCAGTCATCATCATCCGGCCCCTCGATCTTCGATTCCTCGAGACTTGAGGGACCGACACTGACCTATTACTGCCATCAGCACACCTCTGAGCTTGCGTCCGTGTCATGTTGCAACAACCCGTTGGCTGGTAACAACTGCCGCTACCCGTCGTCCAAACAGACTCGCTCATCTCCCTCCATCTTGCCCATTTTATTACATACGTACCTATTACCTTAGTTGTGTGTACTACTTTGCCTGCTTTGGCATTTTTGCCTTTTCGTTTAAACCAGCCGCCCCAAGCTCGACATAGAGTCAGAGCTTTTTTTTTCGGGCTCTGGTCTTGTGTAGCTCTTGCTCCTCAGGCAGACTTCATAGGCAATCCCCCCCACGAAGCACCGAGCTATTCTGGTGCTTCCAACAAGAGGCTTTTCCTCTCCTGTCCCATGTCTCAGAATATAGTCAGAAGAACCAAAGAGGACTTTCAGGTCCCATTTTGCGCATCAAGTGCGATCCGTTCTCAATATCAGCCGAGACCCACAGCGAGCCTCCTGGGATCATAGAGGTACACACACTCACGGCCCCAAGCCTCTGACACCTTCGATATTGGCTTCTTTGTTGCTCTTACGCGCGCCAAACTCCACCTGGGATCCCGATCCCTCCTAGCTTGACAGCCGCAGCACTCTATAGCCTTGGTAGCCCTCGCGCCTCTGATATACACCCGCTCGCACCAACCTCTTGGGCGGAGTCTCTCCCGCAGCCGCTTGGGTATCGACAAAGAAACAGCCCGTCTCATCTTACTTCTCTATGTGCACACTCAACTCCTCCGGGCCTCTTGCATGACCCGTCCCTGTTTCTCCACTCAGCAACCTATCCTGATAAGGCTACTTCCCACGGTCAGGTCCATAGACACCGAGGCAGCCTGTACTTCTACCCATCCTGCCGCTCACCACTCATCTCTCAAATATATACTTTCACCCTTGTACAGAACTCACGCTTCGTCACATTGTGGTTGATATCTTTCCAGTCTGGTCCAACAGACAATCATCCTTACACAACCGTCATCTATTACAAGTCTTCATCCACTGGCCTTGCATGATCACGACAGCCTGGTGGCCAACAAGTCTTTTTTGGACATCCAACCTTTTATCACCAAGTCAAGTCCTTGTCTCACATACACAGACTCGACTAGACTGTTTGATACGAGCACACACCAAAGGTATCGACTCAGTCGTTGAACAGTAGCTGCAGGTAAGAATGCCACGACAAGCTTTGGCCAAATAGTGGTAGCTAACAGTGGCCAGGAACGGGCCGTTGCGGCTCAATTCTAGTTTCTTGTCTCTCGAACTTGATGCTATCGTCTTCTTCCTCTCTCTTACACACTACCTAGGAATACGCTTTTGTGCATATATCAGGTGGTGACGGCTTGTCCTGGAGGTGGACGTCTTCAATTTGGCTTTCCTTCTTCACCATGGGCCAGCAACACAGATTTAGTGGGAGGGAGTATTACCCATCACTGGGTCCTTCTTCCTGGGATACCCGCGGTGCAGCAATTGACGAAAATCAAGGCACTGAACAGCAGCATGTCTCGGGGAGGACTGGGGCGCCACCAGTAAGAGGCATCTTGTCCGCTTGAAAAAGTTGAGAGATCTAACCAACTTTTAGGAACCCATTCAACAAATCCTACGCAATCATGCTCACCTTCCTGTCAAGTGCTTTTACATGTTTTGCATTCTGGAGGACGGCAAAGATGTCAGCTTCTGTACACCTGGTACGCTATCACAGGCAAGCGTGACAAGTCTTTCGGAGCACGTCAAGCACATGTTTCCGCCAAATGGAATATCTGGTATGTGTACATGTCTAGTCTCGGCAATTCACCGAAAGTTGTTTACTGACAGGACGCAAACAGCATCGACGCCTTCTTATGAAGATCAGATCCCATACCGACGCTCAGCTTTTGACATCAAGCCAGCCCTCGACTTGGAAACACCAGAGAGTTTCAGTGTTGGAAGCCAGATTCCCCGAAAGCGGCGTGGGCATTTTGACGACGTGCAACCCCGTACCGTGACCAAGTATACAAAGCCCATCATGGTCAAAGATGCTCCACAGCTATGGCTCTTTTACGAGCAACGTTTCAAAAATTGTCAGCAAGCTGCTTGCAAACTCATTGCAAAAATTTGGATCAAGACTGTCGAGCCAAAGAAACAATCCAATCATCCATACACGGGAAATGATGGAAAGGCACCGGACTGGTGGCCAAAAGCTCACCCCAATGCCAGTGCGGACGAAAAGGTCAGACACAAGGAGCCTGACCACTTGTACAAGAGAGGTGAGTGTGGCTTTAGTCGATTCGAAAGCGAGATATACATTTATTAACATACTGTCCTAGAGAGGCTTCGTCTACTCGGCCACATTCTGCGAATGGTGATGGAGCCGCCCAGCCGCCAACATCCCGACATTAAGAAATTGCAGCTCAGTGTGGCCAAGCTTGAAGAAGTCACAATGGAGGCGCTAAATGGCTGGTTTGCGGATACTAGCAGTCCGTCAAACGGGGCAAAGAAGCCATACTTGGAGGAGATTTTCAAAATTGCAAAACAGGAAGAAAGGTTCCGAGACGGAATGATTGGTACGTAATGAAGCAGCCATGAGATGGGTTGGGTGCATATTGACCAAAATCTAGACGGAACCACAAGAGTCCATGTTTCTACGGATGATAGGCTCATGGATGGCAAAATGTCGGACACGGAAGAAACTAGCCCGTCGCGAGTTGGTGACCAAGACCGCAAGTCGACCTCACGAAGCCTCACGCCCCACGGAGGACTTGCCGCAGAACTGGCCCCGTACGGAAGCGCTCAAGGCACGCTCGATGAAGCCGATGAATCCACAAACGGAGCTTATCTCAACGATGTGATGATAAGAGGCCATACGTATGCGCCAACACTTGAGAGCTCGGATTTTCAAGAGGAGGTAGCAAGGTATGGCGAGGTTGCCGCAATACCTAGCGGGCCGCCAATGCAGGGATTCGCCAGTATGAATTACTTATCAGGCCCCGACCCGACGAGAAGACCCGTTGCTGAGACACAATCGGAGTTTCCCGCATCATCGACGGCAGGCAGTTTTGATCATTGGGCAAATACCTCCAGTGCCAACTCTTCGGCAGTGTATTCCATGACTGGCCACCCGTTTCAGCCGAATCATTCGACAGCCGTTGGCCATTCCACGGGTCCCATGACTCCATCACACAACTATTCCATGTTCTATGATGGCATGCCACGCAGCCATGATCTGGGTCCGCCACCCTTTAGCCGGTTGGGCCCAATGCCATCTCCCACAGGTTACCCCGATTATGGACAACCCGGTTTACGGGATCTCCCGGATCCGAATGTCAAGCAAGAGGCATATACTAGGAATATTAACTAATCTATCCAATCTCACAACTCTATTGGATTAACTCCAAGTCTTCAGCACCATCAGACCAACAATATTTTCAACTTATAGCCACAACATTTGTACTTTTGGCTGCTAAAGTACTTGAAGAGCCAAATATGGGTTCGCCAAATTCACAATACTAGGAATCGTACATTGGCCGAGTTTGTTTGGAAGGTTCTTTTTCCATGACCCATAACCGTTTTGGTGGTATCGACAGCATCTTATAGATTGGATATATGGCGGCACGGAGCAGAAGATGAGGTCTACATTTGTGTGTTTAAGGGATCACCTGGGGTGTCATCTACATTTTCTACAACACAACTGCACAGGGCAGCAGTGGTTTTGCACCGACGAGCCAACCTTTCGTCGTTTTTCTTTTACATATCTACTACATCACTTGTTATCAATTTGTGTGGTCGGCACACGTGTGCACTTCCAAAGTTTCCTCCAATCAATCTCTATTTCCAGGGGACAGAGAAAAGGATCAACTATCACATTGGTGGCTCAATTGTTTTGAAGACATGATACCAAATTTCCAAGGTTTCAAAGTCTGGTTGCATACATGGTTGGCGGCGGCATATGTCTTTTATTTCTTTACTCTTTTCTTCCCCGTCGATTGTTTACTTTGTCTTTCTCTCCATTGCTACGACAATGTCATGTTGTTTCTCGAAACATTCTGCCCATTAGTTCATGATGGAGTTATATCGGGTGTTGGAGCACATGGGCGGCTTTTTCTTTCAGTGGCAATTCCCGCCTCACTTTCTTACTTTACTCACGCTGTGATGATCATGCCTTTTTTTTCTTGCTTTTACTTGTTCTGGGTCAGTAACAACAAGATTGGGATACACATTGTCTTTTTTCTGCTGCAGTCAGCAACCATGGGAGAAAACCTCTAAAGGCACGTGTCTGGGCCTCACGGCTGGACCTGTCAATGTAGGGGTCCCGACATACCTGAAACAGATATATCAAATCATACTTTGCTAGGTACAACTCAATGGAAAGTGCGTTCTGTCACATTGAGACAAGAGCAACCATGTCTTTGCAGCGGCCAAACACGGTGGGATCTACTGTGTTGCATCTCTTGGTCTCCCCATGGCTGTCATTGGGCGTTGGTTCGATTTGACAGCTTGGACAGGAGAGAGGCGTATGCACGGTGACCGATAAAACGCTCTTTTGCATTTCTTCCGCATCGCCAAAACATGTGGCTATTCCGGCGGCATTCAACAAGAAGGAAACCGGGTAACCCAAAGTCATCCACCAACCAATATGGTTCGCCGTCCATTGCTGTTATGTCATACAAGGAGTCACGAACACTCTTGTTTTACTAGAGTACCATTTGCTCCAACGGTTTCTTACAAGGGCCGTCCCGTACTTGGGTCTCCTGCAGCAAGGCATCCCACATGTCATTGCAGGCAGTCTTGTCCAACTTTCTGTTTCGCGGGGGAGTCAGACATTGAGCCGGGGGAGATGCCACATGCTCCGTCACGCACCAACGCAGTCATGGTGCATACGGCATACTTGTTTACCGAATGGTGGGCCTATCAAGATACACGCAATCGCTTTTCTCACCACCAGCGTACCCAGTAACATGTACAGCTTATTATTGGCTGCGTATTGTGTAACCTGACAAAACACCCTTATACAACCCCCCCCCCCCCCGCAGATTTACCATGGATCTGGTTGATCGTTTCTCTTTGGGTCCTCATTCTTCCTCTTCTACGGTATGACACCCCTAGTCTAGCTGCATGGGTTATCTACTGACCGTCACAAACGTCAGCTCAAGCCTAGGCTTTTTACCATAAAAGACTAGTGTATCCATGGCGGGCTACCGCTATCCTTGATGCTAGGGGGGGCATATTTGGTATTCTTTGGGTTTGTGGAGATTAGAATAGGTAAAATGCAACACCATTGGCTGAAGCCCAACGACGACATCGGCGGCGGCGACTACTCTTTTTTTTTATTCAAGCCTTCGTCAATACTACCTACCTGCTAACTGTCAAGGAAACAGACGGCAGATGCCAAGGAATTGCAAAGTGTGAGTGGGGGGAATTCGTATGAAAAAGAGATCTCATGGTGGAACGAGACGCAGACTTGGCAGACCGTCAAACCTACCTGGATTTCCTATCTTGGCTACCGACAGAGAGGCAAGTCCATTTAATATGCATGTATTATCCCACGATGGGTTTAGATTGTTAAAGAAGAGGAATAGTGTGCCAATATTTTGAGAAAGGAATGATTCCCAAAGGAGCCAGCCCACACGAGCAAACCCATCTCCAAAACCAAAACGTCGCCTCCCCCCCCTGCGAGTGACTTTAATCCCCTGGCTCCATGGATACTGCATCTCTATCACAACTCACAAAATCTTGCATACGGCTACACTACGAACAGTTACTTCTAACCAAACAGGACTGGGGCCAATTCTCTATGCCTTTAGACTTTTGGGGACCTGTGCTCATTATTTCCTAAAAAAGGGTACAGTTGCGAATTTCTCCTCTGCTTTGGTTTTGCGGGGCGCATCTTGCATTATGTAGTACCTATATGCGTGTTGAGACTATGTATTTCGCTTGAATGGGTCCTGCAATGTAGTAGGGCTTTTTCCTTTCTCTGTCTTGGAGCGTGCATATGCAGGTGGTATGTTTCTGGGAGGAATCGGTTGGGCACTCTAGCTAAGCGGGTCTCTATTCTTTGGTATTTCGATGATTTAGTATTACAGCTCAATACTGTGCCACCACCAGGACAAAGTCTTCCATGTGCCGATTTTCTATGACATGCAAGGCACGTGTCAGGTCGATCCAGAAACGGTAGATGAAGAAGGCTTCTTGCAGTCTTTGAGTTGATATCAAAGATGAGGCGCAAGGTTAAGCAGCCTTAAACCAGCAAGGACCATTGTGTATACTGCTTGCTATTCGAATCATGGATCTTGCTCGGCAGTTTTCTCTCAAATTGCGGAGCCCTTTGAATATCCACCCTCTATGGACCACCATGTACTGTGTAGTCCAAGCCGCTCTCCCATCTGAATTGGGTGCTCTGATTAATATTCATACGTGAATTCGATGCACAAAAGAAAAAAGGAAGAGCAATATGGACCCTTGAAAAGTTTGACACTCCACTGTTGCCGGGAACCTCAGAGCCGGTAAATCTACTGCGCTATGTACGTACATATGCACCGACGACTGTACGGTAAGGCGCATCGTTTATAGGATGTTATCGATCGATCGGTCTTCCTTTTCTGGTCTTGCTCACTCCCTCACCTGGCCCAATCAAAACATCCCAGCACTAGGACCGAGAGGAACCCGAGGTGAGTACGAACAGTACGATATCGGGCCACTTGCTTCTGTAAGATGGAGATGGTCGAAGGGGTTTTCTTCTTCTTCTCTTGACCACCCTTTCCCGATCTGCCAATTCTCATCAGTCCCGATGAATGCAAGGGCCACGGGATGAACCAGGTTTCGAACCATCTGAGAAACTGCAAGCCCGTGGGCCGTGCTGCCACACTCGCTCGTCACTCTCTTCTCTTTCTCCAAGATCTGTCCATGTACCTTGGCCGTCAGACCAGGAACGCAAGGGTTTAGTTCATTCAGTCCCCAGCCAGTCCCCACTAATGGGCTGGCTGCGGTTGCTGCCGTACGCTCAAGGGGATAGATACATGTCAAATGTGCGCGCTTTGTCTGTTTTGTTTGGTATCGTTTTGTTTGAGAATTTGTAGATATTCTTGAACACTGCCCCAGTACCTCAATGTGATCCTAGTTGCTCTTCTCACCAACCATTTCGGCGTTTGCTTGTTTATCCTTTTGTGTAGATCAAAGGTCCCATTCTCAGCCCTGACTGGATGGTTATCGGCGGCGCTCTTTCTCTCGGATGCGCCGATCCCGGGATAGTGGATTTATTGAATGGGGGGAGGCTCCAATTTTACCCTAAGTTATGGCGTTCCCGTTGACTAGCTCCCGCCCCTAGAGGGCAGGTAAACTTGGTTGGCTATTGGGGGGGGCACTTTTCTTACTGGGTATATGCTGGGTCTTTGTTCTAGGACCTGGGTCGTTGGCTTGCCCTGCTGCTCACCATGCTGGGGCTTGCGCGAAACTCTTGGGCGTCTTTTACTGCGTAATACGTATGTATTGACAAGATGGACTCATGTTGATGCACAAATAGAGTAAATAGAAAAGAAAAGAAAACCCCAAAAACAATTACGAGCATTACTCCACAAACGGCTGACTGTGGAGACTGAGCCGATCCCATTTCCCTCTTTGATGGACGCTACTACAGTAGCATTCATCTTGCATCTCGATCTTGACAATGTTACCACGACAATATATCTGGTGAGTAGCGGTAGTACTTGAAAAAATCAGCTCTCTCAAGCGAGGATTATGAACCCTAACCCCCGGTCAACCCCGAAGGTGATCTGCGTATCCCGGACAGACCGGAAGAGTTGTCCCCGGAGCCCCGGGGTGCTCACTGCTGATGAATATTGGGATAGATTTCTTGGCTTTATTGTCACCTGGGTTTCACCACATACCCGAAATGGCACCGATTGCTTTTTTCTTCTTCTTCTTCTTCTTCTCCAGGTCTCTCTCCCATACAAGCCAGCGCGCGGTTGTTTCGGGGTCTAATCGTTTCATCCATGATCCCAGGAAACAAGTACGCGAGAAATCCTTCCCTCAAGAGCAAAGCCCGAAAATTGGGGGCAAAAAGATTGGGGGGTCCCGGCTGAGATCTTGCCATCGCCAATCTCTATTCTGGATCTCACTGCCTCTGCAGGGTAAAAGTGCGTGCTCATTGGGCACCGTTTTTTCCAACTGCTCACCCTGGAATCTCCAACGACCCGGTTTGCTGATCGCGAGGCTGCCGGCCCCAGGATGAGGGTGGCATTATTACGAGGACCAATCGCCGGTAAAATACAAGGGTTTCTTGGGTTCCCAACCGCAGGCATGCGCTTGTCCCACCTCCCTTCCTCCATCAGCCGTCTGTAAGGCTGCCTTATGGACAGGCCATGGGATTGTATTGTGGTTCCAGCCTTGCAGGTGGGATTTTATTCCCAATATCAAAAATCCTTATTACCGTAAAGTGATTTCTAAACCATGGATGGACCTTGATTATCATGAGAGTCAATGGTACTATACTGACAAAAAGTGGCACTTGATCATTGATTGTTGATCATGTGTACAACCGTCTTGATCCATCATGGTTTCACAGTGTATACAAGTGTAGGGATATGCCCTCAAAGGCCGGAGCTTCCTCCGCTGCCATGAACCAAAAACGAATGCATCGTGAACCACAATTTCCTAGTCTATTCAAATATCTGGAGCCGATCGACCTTGGGCTTGGACGATTGGGTCGTCTCCACCAGAGAGCCGGAAAGATTGCTTATTCGCAAAGATGACCTATATTTGCGCGATGCTGTAGACATGGGACTGCGCCCAACCATCGAGCCACTTGTTCACCATCATGATTTCTCGTACTTGCGAAGATGATGAATGGCGAGCTCTGCGCGTCTTGATCGGGCCTTATTCTTGGAGACGACTGAGACATGGTGAAGAAAACAGGAACCCTGAACCCTATCAGATAATCGTTTCAACGATCCCGCTGAAGAAAAACGGGAGCTGAAAGCACCTGCATATCACCTCGTCACCGGTTTCTCAACGCTCTGAAGCGTGGTCACAAATACACTTATCAACACATGGAAGGGCTCAAGCGCTGGCTGATTTCGTAAATCATTTCCCTCCAATTCTTGCAAGGTCTACTCTATTGAGCGTGTTGCATGATTCTCAGAGGGCAATGATCTAACCCGACTCCCTGACCCCATCACGCAGTGCATGTGTAGATATGAAAAGAATTAGAGCCATTCATCATCGCTTGGATATCTCCTGCGCTCGTCCCGTGTCCAATGATCGACATGCATGCTTTCCATGTTTCCTCATCGAGACGGGCCGTGAGGCAAGATGGCCGCCCAATGCCACATGAGATGCGGCACCCAGCGCGGGAGATGTACAAGTCCGCGCAAGGAACAAGGTTGGACCATACAACAACAGTCGTATTCTATTCTCCTTGGTGAAATCCAGTCAACCGGTGTATTCCCTCTCCCTCGCCCCTGCTGTTTATCATGATACACATGATCGACGCGTCATTACATGCAAAAGATCTTCATCTTTGCCGTGTCCCGCGTCCCTGTCCCGCGCGTCCCAACGCGTGGGGGGAAGAGGCTGCTTTGTCTTGGGTTGCCTGCCGGATTGCCGCTGGCCCCGTTTCTGCTTGTTGGGCGCCGTCGTGTAACTGAAACTTTGTTGCTCTGTACCTGTGTAGGAGTACAACAAGGACTTGCTTACTCGGTGCAAGGCTGAGACGGGGACATTTCCTCGGTGCAAGGCTGAGGAGGGAAGATTAGCAACCGATCCGGACTTGCTCGTGGAATATACTAGGCGAAACGATTGCATGTCGATTTTTTTCTTCCTAAATGGGAATCTGGAAAACAGAACTCGAATGTTGTTACAGAAGATTACATTATAGCTTAATGATATAATTCAGCTAATCAAGGTATACTGTTGCGAGTGACCTGCCCTCTTGTGTTTCACGGGGTCTTCATCTCCAAAGAAGGGATCGTAGGAATGGTCTCATTATACAGATTCGACTCTCTAGGAATTGGGGCCATTATGTCCAAGATGCCTCGATCGAATAACGATAGAATTGAAGAATTTTTTGACCGTGCCATATTTCCTTGCATTCGTGGAATAAAGATAGTTTTTTGTCATGGCAAGCAACAGTAATGGTAGACGTGCTGTTCGCGATGCTGCTCGGGTTTGCTGTGCTGAGACAGACTCCAATATAAGATGACAATAAGAGGAATCACTGATTGAATTGTGTTGGCCATGAGGTGCGCGACAATACCTTTATTTTATTTGTACAGGGTAATCTATGGCTTTTTGTACATGATTGGGGATACATCAGCTATGCGAACAGCTGTCATGGAGTGTTTTACACGCATATGATACAAATGTCAAGAGCAGCCAACATTATTGTCCATTGCTCTCTGCTCACCAATCATCTTCTTGCTCTTCTCTCGCCTCCTGTTCCGCCTTCTTTCTGTTCCATCCAGGCTCAAACTTTTCCCTGTCCTCGAAATACTTGACGACAAATCGGTTCAGGGCATTTCTTCTAGGTTCGAGCCGTTTGGCCACCACGGGCGGAACCATGGTCTCGAATATGAGTCTGTCATGGGCAGCAATCATCTTTCTGGCCAGAGCAGCCAACTCTGTTCTGAGACCAACTTCCTTGGTCCAAATCTGCTTGTCGCCATCTGTAACGGATTGCTCGTCCTTGACAGGTGCCAGGCCGCCATGTGTGAGCTCTTTGGCGGCTATCTGATAGGGCTCCCACAGATTCTCGAGAGCAGTACACATTTGGCGACCCCAAGCCAGCTTGGCGGCATTTGGATCTTTCTGCTCGGCCATTTCTTCAAACAGACGACGGTTGGCATAGGCAACGCGCAAGTAGTTGCGCAAGACTATCATGTCCGGAATACGAATGGCGGTAATCATGATTTCCAGAATGCGAGTGGCATTGTTAAAGGAGGACTTGTTGAGGTTGTCACGCACACAGGTGAGCATGGCTGTGCGGAAGACCTTGACTGACATCATGTACTTGGGCATTTCAGCCAGATATTCAGCCGTCTTGGTGCTGCTCTTGCCGCGGCGCAGAGCACGGAGCAGAGCATACCAGTTGTTGGCATCGGGAACAATGCCAAAGGTCTTGGTCAAGATGATCCAATAACGACGCGCGAGATTCGTTTTGCCACTGTTTTCAATGGCCGTCATGACCATTGATAGAGTATTATTACCAGGTTGTACTTGGGTTAATGAACGACTCTGGTCTTCGACAGTGACAGCAGCGGTCCGAGAGCTCTCTGTACCTTCCTTTTCATCTGACAAGGCCTCTCGCTCTCCCTTGACAGCCTTCCAGGCCAAGCTACTCAGCCTCTCGGGGTCATTGGGTATGCCAATGGTTTGCTCGACCAGGGAAAAGACGGCGTCATTATCGTGAAAGTTGCCCATGAGTAGGATTCGGCCCATGGCGCAAACAAGCTCCTCGTCAACTATGAGAGTGGCTTCACGCCATTTTCTCATAACGTCATCCCATATTCCCTTGGCCCGCCGGATGGTCACTTGGATTTCTTCGGTTCTGTCGGGTATGGGCATGTCTCGGCGCTGCGGCTTGTCGACAACGGCGCGTAGAGCATTGAGAATGGTGGTGTAGGTCAGATTGTTGGGAGGTCTCTCCTTGTCATCGGCAGTCTTGATAATGGTGAACATGGTCTCGATATCTTCCGTCTTGGCGCACACGTAGAGAACGGCATTCATGTGCTTGACGTTTGGGCTGAGGCGCTCGCTAGTTAACATGTTGTTGTATATCCTGACTGCCTCGGACACGGCCAGCTTTGGGTGAGGCGACATGGCGCAGCCGCTGAAGATGATGGTGTAGGTCTGGGCGTTGGGTAGCTGGGACCGCTTCTTCATTTCGTTGAATGTCTTGATGGCGGCGTGTAGTTTGAGATTCTTCATTTGGTAGTCGATCAAGTGATTCCACGCAACAGTCGTCTTGTACTTTTTGCTTGCCTCCCTAGTCAGGAGCACAGCCTCTTCAAATCGATCCTGCGCCAGTATTCTCTGGACTTCGTTTGCAATGTGAAATGGGTCGTCCATGTATTGCAAGCGCTGCCTCACGGAGACCTCCTTTGACTTGGAGACTGGTTGCTTGGACTTTTTTGACTTCTTGGACCTTGGTTTCCCGGTAGAATTGTCATCGTTTCTCTCGTTGAAATCCTCGAACGGTGACTCTTGGGTCGCAAAAGCAGTTGTCGTCGCATAAGTTCTGACGGCGGCTGCTGAGTTCGGTGCAGTACATGTTCGCAACGGGATGCGGTTTGCACCCAAAGGTAGCGAGCTCTCCAGGAGGGTGGCGAGAGCTCGCCGTGTACAGGCTTTGCAGGAGAACATATTGCTCCCGGCCGTGTGTTGTGGCCGATAACTTGTCTTCCGGTTGATGGGAATTGCTACACTTTTGGGTAAAGGATAAATTGCATACAGGCTTTCTTTGGCAGACGAGTTGACGCGCCCCGAAATTTTTAGCGCTGCCGCGTTATCGGCTTATCGCCTGTGACGTCGGCCCTTGGGGGTCGATCTAGTGCTTCAGCAGGTCGGTAACAGCCGGCGTGTATGCTAGTGTACTATATCATACGACTGTGTCTCATGAGTATAGCTTTGTTGTCAACTCTTTTTCTACTTTTTCTTGATGCTTATTCATGACAAAAGTTGATACCCAATATCATATCTTCACAAGCATATCTTATTATTCTGGTGTCTGCATATCTCTCCCAATTCTTCCTTTTATGCACACCGGCTGAGGAATTGGAATAGTGCCCCCAAAGTGCCTTGGTTGCCGGGATTCCGGAACTGACATACGTACGGAATCTTTCATATCGGATACGGTTGACTGATTCTAGCTTGGAAAACAATCACGTTTCAGTGGAGGAAATGTAACACGTCGCAATTTCGGAGAAAATGCTCATCATGATTTGATCTGTAGCCGCTTCAGAAAGACGCATGTAAGCGGTCATTTCTTGTTGGGTTCGTCAAAGGGAGGTGCTGCTTTGATTGGTGGTTGAAGAAGCGGGGTTTATTGACGAGGCTGAGTCCCTCATATGCTGGCACCCGACGCTGACACCATGGATACGTCGACTTTCTTCCCTTCCACCACATACACTGATGCAATGAGCCGTCAAATTGTCAGGCCTCTGTCGCGCATTTGATCCGTGCAAATTGATAGGTTCGCACCCAAAAGCTGGTTGATTGATCCACCAAACCATTTGATCTGTACTGGCGTCGCGGATCGCAGCGGACTGTCCCGCTCCGAACCGACGATGAGGCTCCTTCAGCTCCTCGACGGCGAGGAGCTGATTCTGACTGGCGAACTGACTCGGGACATTCCACCATACGCCATCCTGTCACATACTTGGGAAGAAAACGGAGAGGTCACTTTCCAAGATGTATCGCACAAAAGCGGGAAAAACAAGTCTGGCTACGAAAAGATCTTGTTCTGCGGGCGGCAAGCGAAGCGTGACGGATTCGACTACTTCTGGGTAGACACGTGCTGCATAGATAAGACGAGCTCGGCAGAGTTGACAGAGGCCATTAACTCCATGTTTCGATGGTATCGAGATGCAACTGTATGTTATGTCTACTTGAAGGATGTCTCTACAGGGTCCGTCCAGAACGACCAGACTTTGCGCCTATGGGACAGCCAGTTTCGCCAGAGTAGGTGGTACACACGGGGATGGACGCTACAGGAGCTTTTGGCACCACGCTCAGTCAAGTTCTTCTCACGTGAAGGCGCTTTTCTGGGAGACAAATCGTCCTTGGAAGCTGAGATCCACAGCATCACCAACATTCCCATGGCTGCACTGCGCGGGGCTGCTCTCAGTCAGTTTCCTACCCATGATCGCCTGGCTTGGGCTCATAGTCGCCGGACGACGAAAGAAGAAGACGAAGCCTATTGCCTACTCGGAATATTTGAAGTGTTCCTGCCCTTGATATATGGAGAAGGCAAACGCAATGCAATGACACGACTGCTCGAGAAAGTCAATCAACAAACAGCTGCCTCGGATTTCTCGACCCTGCCTCATCGCCCGCACCAGCAAGGTAGATTCTTTGAGTATCCTTTATATATATATATACCTCTCTGCTAACCACTTCCCTTTTACTGCTTGGCTTTAGTGATTAATCAAGAGCCCCACCTGATTTTACCATTTGGGCGGAACCGGGGCTTTGTGGGAAGAGACAGTATTCTTGCAGAGCTGGTCCAGGAGATCCTACCCAGCGCGGAAAAGAACGATTGCCAAAGAACGGTACTAGAGGGTCTCGGAGGCGTCGGTAAAACGCAAATCGCCTTGGAGGCGGCCTACCGCGTTCAAGAACAGGATCCAAACTGCTCTATCTTCTGGGTGCCCGCCATAAACATGACAACGCTCGAAAATGCCTATCGAGACATTGGTCAAGCACTTGGTACTCCCGGGATCCAAGACGAAAAGGATAAAGTGAAGTCCTTGGTTAAAACGGCTCTCGAGAGGCATCCTACCTCCTGGCTTTTGATCATCGACAATGTTGATGATATCAACCTGCTCAACAACGAAGGCTTGCGAGAGTATATCCCATTCAGCCGCAAGGGATCGATTCTTTTCACAACACGGAACCACGAGATCGCGGTGGAACTTGATGCTTCGCTGAACATACTGAAGGTCAAGGGTATGAGCGAGAGCGAGGCCTCGAGTCTGCTACTCAGCGGCCTGGATGCTTACCAAGTACGAGACGATCAAGCCACAAATGAGCTTCTAAAGCACCTGGCGTATCTGCCTCTCGCAATCAAGCAAGCGTCAGCATATATGGCTAAGAGGGGCACGACAATATCGACGTATCTCCAATACTGTCTCGAGTCGGATGAAAAGCAAACCAAGCTGCTTAGTGCCGAATTCGAAGACCGGTGGCGGTATTCGAAGGAGACTAATCCGATTGCTACAGCTTGGCTTGTTTCGTTTCAACATCTCGAATCAACATACCCTTTGGCCGTAGAATACCTCAAGTTTATCTGCTTTCTAGCCGAAAAAAACATACCAATCTCACTACTACCTCGCGGAGAAGACCAGGAAGCAGAAGATGAAGCAATTGGGATTCTGAAAGGATATGCGTTTATTTCGATCCGTGAGCAAGGAGATGCCTTTGACATTCATCGCTTAGTGCGGCTAGCAACACGGAATTGGGTCAAGCAGGAATGGGAGGTCCGTTATACCAAAGCGATACAGCGACTGGCTGAAGTGTATCCATTTCCGAAGCATGAGAACCGACAGACCTGGATGGCATATATGCCCCATGCTCAGGTAGCTTTGGTCGACCATGAGCGGTGTGGAGATAAAGAGGCGGAGGCTATGCTGCTTTATGTCATAGCGGATAGTTATGATGAGTTGGGGAAATATAACGAGGCTGGGAAGTTGTTTCGAGAGGCACTGGATTTGAGAAAGTCGGTGCTAGGTGCAGAACATCCGTCGACACTTGACAGCATGGAATGCCTTGGTTTTGTGCTTGATCATCAGGGGAAATACGAGGAGGCAGAGAAAATGCATCGGCAGACACTTGGGCTGAAAAAGTCGGTGCTAGGTACAAAGCATCCGGAAACACTTT